GTCAGGCGGCTGTCGTTGCTCATTATTGGAAAACAAATGCTTTATTAATAAAAACGTGATAGGCGCAGGGAGCAACGGCAATCTTAACAAAAGTTACGAAATTTTTCTGCAGAGTTTCGGTTGCGCGGCAGTCAGAAAAAATCGACATTTTTCATGATTGATGTCCGCATAAAGCATGAAAAATATAATTCAAAAAAAAAAGTAAGGAAAATAAGTGGGGTGGAAATACATAAGAAAAATATAAGAAAATTATAAGAAAAAACTAAGGAACTTGAGATTTGCAGTTGATTTTATAGCAAATCTAATTGCTTAAAATAAAAAGTTGATATAAACGAAAATCGAGCCATTTTGTAGTACATGAGGAGCACCGACAGCAACAGCGACAGCGACAGGATAACAGCCGAATGACATAAATCAATTTGTTAACATTTGAGAAGTTTCCAATAAAGTTTATTGCCCAAATGTTTGCTGTGACGAAGTTTAGTTGAGGAGTAGACAACCTTAAGGAGGAATTCAGCTTAGGATACACAGTTCGACTACGTACATTCTTATAGATAAACTAATATAGAACTTGAGAATAAAAAGATAGTAAAAGCAGGAGAGAAATTGATAGACAGAAAAATAAAATAAAGTAATTTTAAATAGAAATCTAAATGTTTTTCTAAGTAACTCTGAAATTGAACGTTGAAAAAATGTTTGAAAATGTCACATTATATAGAAATCTACCTAATAGGAAGTCAAATTTTTACCCATCACTTCAATTGCACTGCAATTATATGTGCATAATTAGTTTTATTTTTACGATTTACATCGGTTCTATTTAAATATAATGAAAATATGTGTGAATTTATTGATCTCAGATCTTTGATTGCTAACAGAATATGGAAAAATAGTCAGTTTTGCTTACTACAACGGATACTCAAGCGACTTCTCTTCACTCCGTGATATTGTACATTTGCTCACAGCTTTCTCTAAAACCTACGTACTTACGGTAAATAATAAGGCAGCTAGTGGATATAAAGGGGTGGTGCGTGGATATGACACAAACTACCAATTCTAATTGCTATAGCAAAGTCTACTTAATAATCAAAGTTTTAAGTTTGCCATAGACACGTAACCAGGTGTGGGTGCTTGAGTGGCTGAAAACCCGTAATTTCTAGTTGCGGACCTTATGTAGAAGATATGCAATTTTAATTAAACGGTGTCATAAATCACATGGCACGTCTTGATCTGATTTGCTTGCATGAGAAATGTTCCACATATATAATATTGCATTTTGGTGATATTAACTAGCTATTAAGATCTGACAATATATCACCATTGGCCTTTTTTCTGGGGTTACACATAGAGTTGACTCTTTAGAAACAAAAATTTTTGAAGTAATGGATAAGTCAGTGAGTAATGGCTACCTCAAAATATAGTTACGGTACCAATACTGTAAGATGTCACATTAAACATTTTGAAATGAAGAAAAATTAAGATAAAAATTAAGATAACTATCTTAATCAAGTGTGTGTTTTATTTTCGTTTACTTTGGAACCCTGTTTTGAGTCGTCATTTACGTTTGAGTCATATATATAACTGGTATAGTATTCAAATATTTATTTTAAAAAGAAAAATAAGTGTATTTCAAAGGAATTACATTATCGTAGTTCTGTTCTATACAGAATCTTATTTTCAAAATAATTTATTCAATTTTTATTACTTATTTAAAATTTATTCCTTCCATTTTTTTTGGCAGATCTTTGCTTTTTATCATTTTTTTCTGTGATACTTTTTATTTTATTCATATTATTTCTTATATTTCTGGTTGTCTTAGATAAATTGAATAAATCACATTTTGATTTTACATTATCAATAGAATATGAAGAAATGATTGGTTTAGACATTTGCACGATTACCGTCAGATGAAGTGAAAAGCTGCTGAACACAAGACCAGACAGAAAAATATTAAAATGGACAGACGGGATACATAACACAAATAAAAAATAAAAAATAGATAAAATATTTGTAGTCCAATGAAATAACAAAGCATCACATCTAAGAAGCCAACTCATATGTTGGGCGTTATTTTCAAGTATGAAAGGTCCTCTAAGCTAACATAAACAATACAAGTTTAATTATCCTTTGGAAGATAAAATCAAGAAATACACTCAGTCTGCAATATCTATTATATACGTTTTTTGTTTTTGTTTTTGTTTTTGTTTTGGTTTTGGGTTTGGTATTTACACAAAATAATTGCAATGAAAAAATTATTGCCATGTGGATATAATAAAATGTTGTGGTACGTGGCATTAAAGTGGACTTGAACTTATGGAAGCAAGGAGAAGGAGCACTTCTATTGCGTTTTTCAGTCATCTTAAACTGACAGTTTGAAGTACGTTTTGCAGACCTAAAGTGCTTTTATACTTTCCGCAAAACAAACAAATCTAATTTTGTCCTTTCTCGTTAGTTGGTTTGAATGCGAGTTTGAGTACGACTAGCTTATCACGTCCCTTTATGGCAGGAGAAGTTAAACAGATTTGCACTAAGACGGTTTTATTTGATTGATGTGATTAAAGGTTTTGTTTTACTTGTTATATGGAATCATTAGAAATAGTTTTTTTTCTGGTTCTGTTAATTAAGCTGCTTAGAAAAAACAAAAACATTTATATATTATTTTTATTTTTTAGGCAATAAAAGTGCTTTAATAAGAGTAGTACCATTATCCTGTCCAGAATGTCAATCAAAATTATACGATTTAGACGTATTTTGTGTGGTTTAAAAGAAATTCTCTTGTTTGATACAGCATTAATTAAATTGAGACATGTTTCCTGAAACAGTTTGATAAGTACTGGACGTCTTTTCGTAGGACCGAGTTACAATTTAAACATATACCAACAGAAATTTTGCTGTAATATCAAAAAGTAAGTGTGTTTTTGTGTGTTTAGATAAATACAGATAAAATATTTATTTTGTCACAATCTGTTTTCTCTAGATCAGGGTTGTCCAAAGCGCGGTCCGCGGGCCACATGCGGTCCGCGGCTAATGTTTAGGCGGGCTGCGACATGATTTTAATCTACTACAATTGTGCAAATTTTCTTTTGATGTACTGTATGGTATACCAAATAAATGAATTTAAATTGATAAATTAATAAAATTAAATTTAAAATTATAGCCGTATTTTTATTTTTATCGAAAACTACTATGAACGTATATATTTGTTTCTGTGGCTCTCCAATCTGTACACTGATTAGTATTGGCCTACGATAGCGTCTGCTCTCGACAACCCTGCTCTAGATGAATAGTAAATTATTAGAGCGCGATACTAACGACTTAATGTAACTTTTAAAGTTTACTAATGAAATCATTTTGTATACTAGAGGTGCAGCAGAAGGAAACTCATGTGATAGTACCTCAGCGTATTCAAGTACTTCTAATACTTTTTATGTTTAGGACTACCAAGTTATCCTAATAATAAAAAATTAAGCAATTTATTATTAAAACCGCAGTGCCATCGCAACGCATCAATTCTGGAATCCCCAAAAATGTTTATATTCTAGATTTCCATAATAAATTTAATAATAACAATTTGGTTATAAAATAATAAATATTCATTATAATTATAATGATATCTTCGAAACATTCATGCGTTATTGTAAAAAGTTCTTATCAAATTTTAAAAATATATAATAATTAATTTTCATTATTTATTGTTTCGTTAATGCTAATAAAATGATTGCAAAATTGTTATTTTTAACAGAATTTAATGATGTTGAAAATAACTTTAAATTTGCCATTAATAAAATTTTATTTTCAGTGTTTATCGTTAGATAATGACTTCAAATATATATACACATGTGCAAAATATGTAAGTATATGTATAAGGCGTAAATATTTAGATATATAAACATATAGAAAATTTGTGAATTTTGCCTATACAATGAAACATAGAAGCAATGGCAGCCATTAGATACAATTATGTAGGCACTTGAATAAATTTTACTAAAGAGTTTTCACACTTTTTATTTAATTTAAAATTATTTTCATAAAAAAGCAAATTTATTTTTCGTCTAACATCGAAAGCATTTAGCGCAAAGCCAGGCGACTGTTTACATTAAAAATATTCGCAAACAAAAATAGTCAAGACTCAAACCACAGAATTCGTTCATCCATAGATGACGGGCAAATACTTTTGCCGTCGTTCATTGCCTGAATGATGTGTAATGTGAGCATCCAGCATTTGTGTCCTGTGTTATATGTGTAATGTGTGCCTCTGCCATTGCTAAAACTCAATAAAAATATTTACAACCATTAACACGCGCTCAAAATGGTTAAAAAAGGAATATGGTTAGGAAAAAAATGGCTGCGCTGGGTAAATACAACTTTTCGGAGGGGTCTTCACATGTTGTCAATATGTCGGCGTTTCATGTTGCCAATTTTTCACATGTGTTTGTGTGCATAAGCGCCCCCATCCCTAGTACTGAAAACACCGAAATCCTTGCAAATGTTATAGAAAATCACAAAATATTGCTTTCATTGGCGTCTGACATGTGCTCAGCTCGTAAAATTTACCCTTCGATTTTAATATTTTTATGCCATTTTACATTCTCGCCTCACTATCTGTTTCCAATGTGAGTCGTACGAGTCGAACGAATTTGCCTTCATTGCGACAGGAGTCAGAGTCAGAGTTGCGGCGGTTCTTCAGAGTTAACGGCAGAAATACTTCCCAGGGTGTCACTTGCTAAAAATTTAATGCGCAAAGTACGTACTTCTGTCGTTATTTGTCGCCATTTTCGAGTATTTTTTTCGGTTGATTTTTGTCATTTCACAAATTTTAAGGTAATTTCACGCATTTGCGCTAATTTATTTATGATTGAGTGAATTTATGCGCGATTTTGTTATTTTCCTACTTTAACTTAACATGGTTAGAATGGTTAAAATGGTTTGCGGATACGTGCTTCTGATGGTTGTTTCAAATGTAAAAAAGTGTATAAAGTGTAAAAAAGTCAAATACTCACATCGCACACTCAAATAATAGCCAATTGACGAGTACTGAAAGTTAAGATGCCGTGAAGTGCATTTGTACCAGCCCGAGTGCTCACGTCGTATGGAAGTAAAGTTCAAGAAGCCATCACCAGTTTGTGGCACCTGCAAAATGAAGAACGAAATTATAACACATAAAATGAAACTTATGTTAAAAGTTATGTAGAATAAAAAATTATGATATGTAGTTTTTATTAAATTACATGTTCGATTATAGCACAACTGCAGCGCATATTAATAACTGAGGCGGATAGAAAACCCAATCATCATATAGCTTATTATACTATATAAAATAGTTAATATACTACAATCAATACCATTAGAATAGTTGTTGAATTGTTAAATAATTTCAATTCCATTGGTGGCCTAATATCAGTAAATGTACATAGAACAGAAAAAATGGCAGTGATTTCAATATTTTTATAAGAGAACTTTCAAAATAACTATCATAAATTTCTAAGAAAAAAACCAAAAATGTTCATATAGGTTATTTGTGAAAGAAGTGTTTCCACTGTTATACTAACTATATCTACAGCTGTAGCTTTATAAACAAAAAAAATCATATGTCGTACTTGGACCATAATCTAGGCGTGCACCTATGGATTAGTTATCTGATTTTCTTAATTTTAACTTAGTAAACGTTAAACGTTGATATGTTGGCTTACATTTGAAAATATCTTAGTAATTAAACCTCTGCTATATTCTTTAGAATTTATCATCGATAACATATGGCGACGCTCAAATAACAATCAAGTCTGCGTTGAATAAGCTATACGTTTTGGGCAACATTCTCTATCTGATGTAAACATCTTTATTTATATATGTGTACAGTTACGTATATAATATAATACTAATATAGTGTCAAGGTAGGACAAGATTTCTAGGAGCTAGGGATTTTGTCCGTATTAGTCGGATACTCACTTCTCGGGGTGCCGAATTATGGTAAAAAATAAAAACTGTTACTACTATAATATATGCTTTGGTGGATTTCTCGTTAGGTCGTTTAAGCAACGTTTTTATCAGTGGTATCACTATAGATCATTATTTGTGTTCAAATAGGTTTTGGAATGCAAGATCATTAATCGAATCAAATCTAACTAACTAAAATATATCCAATGTTGATATTTTCTTGCACTCTTTTATATATTGCATTAAATTTAAAGACACTTAAAACAGTTAGAGAAAACTGATTTTTAATGCTCCTTCAAGTGTGTTCCAGAGATAAAATAAAAACTCCATAAAATCTCATTATAAGTTCAAGATAAGTTAAAAGTAAATCATAAATTAAGAAATTTTTCAATAAAATCTACAAAATTGTCTCATTCTATGTTAAAAATTTTTGCACGTGACTTTTGTTGGTTTTAATTCTTACCGCAACTAAAACAAGTGGAAAAGCCTATTAAAAACTTTTCTGCCAAAGATAAAGAACAAACAAAAAATTAATTAAGAAATTCGTGAAAAGAAATCTTCGTATAACCCACTATCCCCGCCCAACACAACCCATTTATATGCTGCTCACTGAAACTCACTTTAGCTTTTATGCTTACCGGTGTGTCACCGTCGTCCTTCTGCCAAAGTGGCGTGCTCGGCGGATTCGAGTCAACATCACATTTTAGCGATACCTCAATACCTTCACGCAAAGGATAACCAAAGCCAGGAGTGCGTGAGATGGCAAACGAAGGCGTATCTGCAATGAAGATAAACCAAAAAAAAGTTATAAATTAAATAAAGTTAACAGAAGTAAACACACCACCAAACACACACACACACATACCCACACATACTCGAATTCGAATTAAACTACACAAAACATCAAAAAAAAAAAAATTTATACAAAAGCTACTCTTAAAAGGGAAATATAGTTTTTAATTAATAGTTAACAACGGCAACAACGGCAACACTGGCAACAACAACAACAAACACAATAAACTTTTATAATTAAAGTAAATGCAAATGTGTTGCCGCCGCCACTGTTGCCATTTCCTATGTTAGTTTCTGTTGGCGGTGCAACTACTGCTACGCCGTTTTATTAAATTCAACTCATTCAGTGTATTAAGTGCGGTTTAGTTGGCTTAACAGGCGTGGTGTGGTGAGTTGGTGGCAAGTTGCTGTGGGTAAAATGCAAATAAATATTTGGCACCTTACACTCCACTCTGAGTATGCAAATTTGTTTACTGGAACTGTTCATTCGAGTACTTCGAGAAACTTTTGATTCTTTAGTTGTACTAACTTTAAATTAATAACAAATAAAATTAATTATTTAAGTGTTTGTTTACAATTGTCAAAAGATGCGTGCTTGGTTGAAATTCCTACTGAAGATTTGTAAGATTTTGTAAAAAAGATTTAATGCAATTTGACAATTATTTGGAAGCTAAAGAATTATAAAAACAAATATTAATAAAGGATATAGTAATAGTTGACATTTTCCACCACATAAAATGTAATGATATAGTATGACTAACACATAGCTGCAGGCCTCAGTAGCCAGAGCTAACTATCATTGCTAAAAAATAAATAAATAAATAAATATAGTATGTAAATATGAGGTAAATAAAATACAGCGACCAGAAGTTCTAGAGTATTATCGGGTACTAGTTTAAAGTGATTTTATAAAGTCGTATCTATTCTCACCAGTCTCAAAAATGCAAAAATGTCAAACGGATTTAGCATTACTTATTCTCTATCTAGTAATAATTATAATCTATATAATATAAATCTATATATATTAAAAATGTTTGTTTTTTGTGTATGCATGCGTCATATGCATCATATATGAGAAATGGTACACTAAGGCACTTGTTAAATAAGCGATCTCAATTCGACCAATCTTACTCTTACTCTATCAATACGCAATGTACTATGGGACTGGGTATTTTACAGAGAGATATGTTAAACTATGTATGTGGATTACCAGGTGACACGATTATTGAACAACAGAACTTTGGTAAAACTAGAACCTAATAATTGATGTAAGTATTAACCGATATTGTATCGTTTATCTGAATTGGAATAAGCACCTTACTATATAAATACATATGGATGTATTAGCATAGTGAATATCATATTATTCACGAAAAAATTCAATTTTAATAAAATTGACTGCCGTGTAATATAACTGAGGTTAGATGGACAATTTACTCGGTGAAAAATAATAGTGTGCAGAGTATAGTTACAGACCAAAGCTTTCCGTCAATTGTGAAGTCAATTCACATCTATAATAGTTATTAAAGAGTTTTGTTTTAAAGATATGAAATGTGATAACTACGGTCCATTTATAACTTCTTTATGAGTCGCATAAATAATATAAACATAAATAAGTAATATGAGTGTAGAGCAGGGATTATCTTTATTGCGCGCTCATTGGAGACTTGATAGAATACTGTTTTAAAAGTAAGCTTGATATGTTCATTATTGAATTAGGTATATTATGGATGGCTTCAAACTGTTAGATATGATATAAAGAACGAACAGAACATTTATTTCAATAAATATTTTTTGATAGATTAGATTATGCTGGCAGACCAAAAAGGTAACGCGTAGACCATTAAGGTCCATTGCGATACCAGATCAGAGAGTCTTTTTTTAGCGATTGTATGCATCACTTAGGATGCGCGTTTCATTAGCAAAATTTATTAGGATTTCAACAGAAACCTCAGTTATGTGCTGTAAAACTGACAGCCTCCAAGTATTTTTGTCGAGTTCTCGAGAGAGCCGGGCAATTACACAGTAGATGTAAAGTAGATTACATTTTTTGATAAGTATTATATTGATTGTATGAAAGCAATTAGTTTTAAAGCTATTTCTATTATCTGATGGAATTGTCTCTACTATAGGTTGTTGCTGATTTGTTAGTAGTCATTTCCAATTGCATAGAGCAGGAATAATCTAAGGTTACTGAAATTTTATCTCACCAAAATTGGAATTAGATTTTAAATGATACGAATGTTAGAATATGTGTAATATTAAAATTAAAAATTCATCAAAAAATTTTATTTTCAGTGCTTCTGAATAAAAAAAAAAAGGAAAAAAGTATTGATAAATAATTTTAAAAATTGTTCGTTGGCGTTTGTATTTTGCAATTAAAAATTTAATAAATTTCCAATTTTCGCAATAAATTTAATTAAATTTTATTAAAGAAAAATGGACCTGTGATTTCTTTTCAAAATTGAAAATTTCATTCAGTGCACATATTTTTTTAATATTTTTTTATTTATTTTATATCAAACAATGTTGATTATTTTACCAAATTTATTAACTATGATGATCATCAGTTTTGTGCACTGAAGCGCAAATCCTCATTTGTTGTATTGGCTGTGCGTTGGTCCTTTTGTTGCACCAACGAAATGTTCTCTCTCTAAAGACTACAAGTCCAACTGCAATTTTATTTTAAATCGTAACGATTGCCTTTTTTAATTTTTAGTAGACATTTTTGTCATTTCGAAACAAATCTTTCTCATTTCAATTTTTGTGGTTTATTTGTCAATTTTTTAGTTCTGCAGGATACAGGATAGCGAAATCCTTTAAATAGCGGCGTATTTGTAAAATATTTTCAATTTATTCGTCTGTTGATTTGTCTCTTTTTTAGTACGTTCGTCTATTTGTCTGTCCATTTGGCTATCCATATGTCCATCTTTTTTATCTGTCTGTCAAATGTCTATAATTTTTATTTGAAATTCCTTCATGTGAACAGTTTTAATTTGTTTTTTGTTATTGTTGTTGTAGTGTTTGTTGTGGGTTCGTTAAGCTATATTTTTTGCAAAGCTTCCAGCTATATTTATGCCTGTATTTATAAATTTTTTTAAAATTTCGCCATATATTTCATTATTTTTTACTTTTTATTCTACTTTCTCTCACTCGGTTTTTCATTTTGAATGGAATTAATAAAGCAAATATCCCTGGGATTTGTTTTGCGGTGTTGTGAGTGTTGCCAATTAGTGCGGATTTTCTAGTTTTAAAATGAATTTATTTTTTATTACGCTTTGTCAGATTTAATATGGCTTATATAGCATTTCAAGTATTTTAATTTGTACGAAAAAACGAATTAAACTTTTTTCGCACAAAAAACTAAACTTTAATAATGAGAAAGAGAGCTACGTTTACTTAAGAAAATGTAAGTACAGCTGAAGAATGCCTTCTTAAACGAAAAGTTAAAATCTGATGAGTTAATTTTATTCAGAAATCTGCTACTTACTCATATAACTAACAAAATAAGGCTAAATCTCATTTTATTCAAAATAGGCTTTCAATATGTTCTACAAACTCATGAAAATTATATTAAGTAAACATAAGTACAACTCCTTTTCATACGGATTCAAGTAAAAGACTTCTTAAGCAATTTTTGAAAATCTTAACCATTTCACAGTTCTAATACTTAAGCACCTTAAAGTATGCAACATAAAAATGCAATACAAAATTTAGTTAGAAGTGAACAAAGTACAAAGTCAAGAGTCATTAAAGTGTCATTAGCTAAATAAGCTTATGGTGAAAGTGTATACACATACACACATAGTTTCACTCAAACATATACAAAAATACGAAAAGTTCTAGATGCAGTGTTCAGTACTGAAAAGCGCAGCAAGAAGTTACCCAAGTACCTCGAACAGTTGTTGCCATTGCACTTCAAATGTTTATAGTGCGAAAAATGTTAGAAAAATAGCAAAACTATTTCAGAATGCATTTCGCAACAAATGCGCCATGAAGATGCTGTGGCAGCGGCATTAAGATTTACGCCACAATAAATGACAAGGCTACTTTGTTTAAGCCAATTGTGTTGAGTTGCGCGAAGTTGAAGTAGTTTTGCTTTCTTAGTTGCTTGCTTAACTTCAAATGAAATCAGAATAGCAAATTTAATATTATTACTACTTTTAGGAGTGGAAATGTAAATGAAGATGGGAAGAGGGAAGAAGAGAAGAAGTAGAACCCATTAGCCACAAATTCGCTTCGATATTTACTTACTTGAAGAAATGTACAACAGCTGTTGCTGCGGTTTTATGGTCGAGCCACAATTCCAATATTTCAAGATAAATTTATTTCAGAATTAAATACTTATGGCTATTTGATATGGTATTCGTAAACGATCATAACGTCTACTTCATATTCTTAACTCCTTAGAAAAGTTTTAGGTACCAACGAAAGTTCTTTAAACTAAAGTTTTAATATATATTGATTTAATTGCATAGAGGTCTCAGAAGTTTGCAAAGCAGGATGCAAAAATTTTGATTATTTTTCAATAATCGAATATTTATTCTTTCCATTAGTTTCACAAGCGATGTAAGAGACCAATATTTTATAGAGTAGAAAAAATATTCGTTGAATTATACTAATACTATGTGTAAGTTTTACAATTGCAACAATTACAATCGCGTATGTATCTTATATTATGTTCTATATATGGTAGCAGGTGATAACTAAAGAAAAGTAGTATAAAAACGGACTACACAGAATATGTATTAGAAAGGATGTTAAATTATAGAGCCGCGACATGCAAAAATAAGTGTATCGTATTAATACAAGTTTTAATACTTCCAATTTGTGTCATGATTTCAAGTTGTCAGGAAAAAGCAAGCTGCGATAAATATTACAATTTCAAATGTTCCCCTAACTAAGCCATTTGGTTTTTCATTTGAAGTTAACAAGATGTGACAGGTCTATCATCGCTGTCTCTGCAAGACTCTTGAGGAAATGAACTCCCATAAAATAAAGTCACCTCATCTGCAGTGCTTGACAAATACATAAAAGGAGTTAATTAATTCCACTAACTCTTTATAGTGGTAATTGCTACATAATCCACGTGTCGGAATACTATACCTTTGCATAATTTCACATAAGCACAGTGGTCCATTAAATACTTCATTAAGTATATGAACCACATGTCTTAATGTAAGAATCTATTGTTATTTTCTTATAATATCTAGGCCTAATAACGTCATAGTATGAGTAAAATAAGACATTCAAAAGTCATTCATAACCTAACAGTTGATCCAGTGAGCTATGTGTACATATATCGGTGTAATTTACTTCCAATACGGAGCTTCTTATAGTCATTCTTTTAGTTTAAAACTTGAAGTCGTACAATAATTAAACTTTTTTTTATGTATATATACTTAATTAAGGCTTTCAGTACAAGAAGAGGTTTCTTTCATTGTGATAAGAGTTAAGTGTGATATCTTATTTTAAGACATATTTGTCTATAGATCTAAAATTCAACAGCATAAGTAGTTAACTGCAAAAGCAATATAGCTTTTGTCAGCAATATCGCCTTTTCTTATGTTATTAAGAAAGTAGATTACCTCCTTCTCTAACTGAAGGCTCTAATTTAAGTGGAAATATGAATAAAATGAGCCAATTAGTACACCTGGTTTTTATATTAAATTAGTTCGGTTATTCATCACAAATTTTAAAATTAGACAATCCTGATATCTGAATTATGAGATCTTTTTAACGTAAGTTAAGGAAAGACATTGAAGTGGTAATTGAAGTTGGCAGAATATAGCTATTCTGACATTTCTACATTAATCAATTTTCATATCACTTTAAACATATGTTTCTTTATAATTAGAAAAATACGTACTTATACCAAATAAAGACATACTATATAAAAAGACATAGGAAAATTATTATGTACTGAAATATGTTTTATCATTGCTTCATTAAAATAATGAAGAACCTAACAAATTAAAAGCTCTTCAGGTTCTTGAATGTTGTAGCTTAGTTTGTTTTGTATTTTAAATTTAAAAAAAAGTAATATAATTTTTAGAAATAAAGTTCTTAGCAGAAACAAAGCAACGTTTAATAATGCAAATAAAAATTAATTTTTTAAGTAAAAACATGGAAAAGCTACAATCAGAATGAAACATCTTTATAAGTAATTTGTGCTGCTCAAATATCATTAAAATTAAAATTGTTCATTTATTATTTATGTTGGCTATTAAAATGTTTATGCGGAGCAGCTTCAGCTGCTGAATTGTTCGCACTCATCGAGTTTAAGTTTAAACAAATTCAAATTGCAATCTATGAGATCTACAAGAGCTCCAGTAATGGAAGCAGCAAAAGGTAAGTAAGTAAGTACCAGCAATTGCTGTTCCTTTGGAAATACATGCTGCCTAGCTGCGCTCAAAATAGAAAAGTTTTCAGCAACATCACATCACAATAGCAGCAGCAACAGTGAAGGCTGTTGCAATCTCTTGCATTTGTGCTTGTGAGGTGTGGAAATGAAGTGATGACTGGTCCTGCAAATGCTGATGAAGATGATGTACTATTTAAGAATGAAATGCTGTACGGCCTGAGGCGGTAAGCTTCCAAGTGCAAGCACTTGCAGTGCTGCTCAAACTACAAGTCCGTTAAGTGCGCTCGCTGTTTAGAGTTTTGGTTACAAAAGGAAATGCAGTGCAGCTGCTGCATTTTTGTGCTGCTAGTGTTTCCTTATATTTACATAAATTTTACTTTCAAGAACTGAGTTTTTGTTGCAAACTACTACTGCCACTTTTACTACCTTAACAGTGCACATTTTATGCTTTACTACAGTTCTTTTTTTCACTTCTTCCCGTTACAATAGCGTAATAATAATATTGTTTTGACCTCAAAACGTAGTTGACTGCAGTTGCAGAGCAGGTTGAAGTGGTGAAAGTGGGTGGCCGTAAAGTAGTACAAATTACAGAAAATCTCTTTAAAATGTTGCAATTTAAGCGGAAATAAAATTACTGCCATTTCCACTTTAACTTCTCATCAACCAGACAATAGGGTTAAGTATTGCAATATTTAAAGTAGCGGGAAGCAACAAGAAAAAAAATACCAACTATTATAGTTCATTCTGAGTAATGCTTTAAGTGTATCTTTATATAGTTTAATTTAATTTTTATACTCACATTGTACATCCAGGAGCAGCGATGCATTTTGTCGTATCTTCAATGTTGGGTGCTCCATGACGCACAGGATACGTGCGTTGTGATGTGCGCGATATACCGCTGGCAGACGTGCTTCACTCTTGGCGCCGCCATTAATTTTATATGCAATTTTATCCTGAAATGAATTTTAATATTTTCAAAACAAAACAAAACAAAACAGAGCAGTAAAAATATCGTTCAGGTTTGCACTTGAAATATATGAATATTCAAAAAAGTAACCAACAAAGAGTACAAAGCGTATAAAATAGCAAAAATATAGTAAAAAAATACACCAAAATATGTGAAAAAAAGTTAAAACATAAGAAAAATGTGCTAAAAAACGTTAAAAATAGTTTTCACACATCACACACTCGCTCACATAAAAATTCACACCATTTCGCTTCTAGCACCTATCACCCAACGGGATGGAGTAATTTGTGCGCCATCTTTCGGGCAGCGCGGAAATAACAAAAATATTTAAATGCCTCCACAATGCATTTTTAAGGGAATTCCTTCGCAAACCGACGGAAAATGCACGCAAAAATGGTGGAAAAGGAACAATTAAAAACGAAAAGTTCGGCTACACTTTCTGAATACTTCAGCTGGTAACACAAAAATTACATAAAATTATTTCGAGGAATCTACAGTCAGCATTGGTGATTTATACAAGTCCACCACAACAGCTTCTTGTTATAAGACGGGATTTATTGCTCACTTCAGTTTCATTTTCACTATCAACACTTTTACTAGGAGACATTTATGGCATATCATACCACCCTCAGAATTGCTTGGGAGAGGCAGGTTAGATCAAACCGTGCTGTCTACGAGTATTATCTTTGTGTTACCATTTATACTTTGGGATAGAGCTGAATAGATTCAGAAAGTACACTTTCATTGTAGCTGTTCGGATAGCGAAGAAACACTCTCCAAGGTATTAAAATCACTTCCTCTAGAGTCGTAAATAAAGGCATAGAAAGTGATTTATTGCTGTTATATAGTCATCATCGCCACAATTACTACACAAACCACTTGACGAAAAATGCCATCGCTGAATCATCGATACGATATCACAGTGTCGCGGAAGTGGTACAGTAATTATATGAACCGTAGTTTTCAGAGGTCCAAAATGGTTTTTGTTTATAAATACATACATACGTATATCTGTATTTTAAATTGGGTTTGAAAGAACGTATATAGCACTTCTTGGCCAATAAACTTATTATATACAAAGACAACATGTAAGTTTAAGCGGCTGTACTTCAATGTCTGTTAAAAAGCCCAGAATGCACCTTTTACCAGAAACATCATGTTTCGATTTGCAGGTTATTTCACTGTAACATTTATTTTCCCAATTATTCTTATTACTCCATTTTCTCACTATTAGAAGTAACAACAGGAAATTTGCACCTATCAAGTACCAGTAGTGATAGTAGTCAATTTAACTTATTTTATTGTGTTTACCAGCAGAACGAATCAGATTTCTCTACACAAATCTATTATAGTGTTGAACTTTTAGGCCTTTCTTCGACACACTTTATAAAATGTGGACCAACATTATTCTAAAAATTATTCATTATGAGGTCTTATACTGGTATATGAAATAATTGTACACCAGAAAAGAAAAAATTACTAAAGTGCTACTTAATAGCACTTCAAATTGATAATAATTTATAGTAATTTATGTCTGAAGGCCAATATCAAATAATATTGCTAACAGTTTTGGGATAACAACAGTATTTCTAGAAAAATTTTGTTTAGCTAATCAGTAACCCTCGTAAATAGAAAAATGCAAATCTACCAGACTATAAGTAAACCATATAAGATAGTACAAGAATCATAACAAGAGGATAAAATGTGTAGCTTAGATGCAGAAAGTGCTTTTAGTTTGGCTTGTCTTTAAACAAAATTTGGAATTGCTGATTCCTAGCAATCCAAATCATAATTTCTATAGGATCTTAGTCATCGGAAGTTTTGGATTCATTATGGCTACAAACACCAAAATCACCGAATGAAGCTAAAATAATATTATAACACATTTTTTTCTGATTTCTTATAAAGCAAGCCCTTTAAGGATAGATTCGTCTTGTCAAACTAAAGTTGCAGTAATAAAAAGCGTTAGAAAGGTTTAATATTTAATGAGTTATACGTTGAAATGGTTTTGTAAGTAAATAATTTTACGAACGAGACTACAATATTAAAAACTTCATTCCATTATAATTCTTTTTACCATAAATTGTATTTGTTTTCACACATTTTTTTGATATTCTTCAGATTGAATTTTCAACAAAAGTTGTTTATAAATTTGACTGAAATTCATGCAATCCTATATTACTCTAAATTGCATAACAATGCATAACAATGCACGAAAGCAGGACACATAGTCCTTGTGAAGGCATTAATATGCAACAGGAACCTGTAACGAAATGTGGTAACTATTAAAGTTATTAAATTCTGCTCATATCAATTGCACAAAAACTTTAAGCTCAACTGTTAACAGAAGCTATAATGTCCGTAAAGCAGCAAAGATCCATCTCAAAAGCCCTGACGTACACAGCAACACGCACCCATGGTTGCATAAAAGGGAATGCAGATTTACTGTTCCAAAAGTATCCACATCTACATATGCAAAGGATGTTTTGCAAAATGCATGTGTGCTTACCGAAAAATGCTCATTTAAATGGCAATTTAAAATTTGAGTGATGTCGGTCGGTCGGTCGGTCGGATCGGTTGGCTCGGTTGCACATTATTTTCTATACACAAGTAACACACACAGGAGCAGAATATTTACCTTCAATGCTCCTCTCCAGATACAATGTTTATGCATGTTTTCTATATTTGAAATTTTTTCTGTTATTAACAAAGGGCGGTGGTGGGTGGGCGTTGTTTTTTTCGGTTGGTTTGCGTATATGTGGCAAAGTGTCCGAATAACCTATTATTATGCTCGTTTATTTTGGCAAAGCCATTATGTTTACGTCCATTGCTTCACATTGTTTATGAAAAGTTGTTGCTATCCATTTTGCTGCTCCATTTTATGGTGTTTACGGTGTTACGGTGTTTTCGGTATTTTTTGGAGCATTTTTTGCTGTCGTTGAACGGAATTTGACAGTTACACTGACACTTGGTCAGCAGCTTTGTATGCTCTGTGCGGTGTTCTTACCTATGTCCTTTATTCAGTATCTGCGGCAATGCAATATTGTTGATTTACATATAATGTGGCTTTGGTACGAATTTAAGTTGAAGCAATAAATGTTCAGCTTTGATAAATGAGCGGATATGTAGCTAAACTTTTTACATCTCATTTCAACATTTCGAAATTGCTGCATTATTCTAACGTTGATAGCAACCATTTGGTAGGATATATGATAATTTAGTGCTACTATAGCATAGTTCTGAAATTCCTTTAAAAATAGATGTAGGCAACTTAGTTGGCTATACTATATAGTGAGGAAGTATACCAATGTAGATACAAACACTGTACAGATATGATAACTAAACATCAAAATAATAAAAATTTATATTTAACCAAATATTAAAATACTTAAATTTAACTATAAAAGTCATTAGAATTAAGTTCTGGAAACGATTAATAAATATTATATATGTATATATGTTAGTTCTGCATTGAAAATGTTGGAATAAATTTTTAATTTAAGAGTACAATAAACACTTCTCTATTAAGTTAGTTAGAGCTAAGGGAGTACGTATAGAAAGCACAAACCTAGTATATATAGAAAGTAACTTTGCTTTAGTATTATCTTAACTATTACATGTATTTCAAAATACAGATGCAGTACAAATTTTAATAATAATATTTGTGTTTATTCAAAATGTCTAACAATTAAACCTCAATAAACATAATTTGCGTAAATTTAATTACGTTGAAGTGTTTGTATGGCAAAACACAAAGCATACAACCAACCTGAAGACAACGAGTCTATGTAATTCATGGCACAAATTAACCAATATTAACCACAGCCCAGCAATGAATGGAAACATTTCATCACATGTCCTGTCAACTAAAGCCTTAGCCAAACCGAGCCCAACCAAAGTTAAAACAATCAAAAGCCAAGACTGCCTAAATGTATGCTCAACTAAGCAATAAATTTGTGGGGCGATGTGTGTTGGTGTTCGTAATGGTGGATGACTTGCATGCGAGCGGGTGTTATCTTTGTCTTATGCCTTGAAATATACTGACAAATTGTGATGCAAAACTGACCACATACAATGCAAACACCACTAAATTGTTGTGTCTGTGGCTTTCTGCAAGCAAATGTGATTGCAACACACTTGAGCAAAGAAAAACAGACTAAATTTACTTGCAACAACAGACACACAATTGTGAAGATATTTGATGAGATGTCGACTGGCATCTCCACTCATATGCTTACACACCAGTTAGAAATAGCTTTTCAATATACTTAATTTACTGCATATTATCCTGTCACATTTTTTGTTTCACTTTGATTTGCAATTATACTTTATTTTGTCGAAAATTGATTGGCAGCCCAAACCAGACGAAACTTGAGCTGTGGCAGTTCATCAAGTCATCCATTATCTTAACTTGAAAATTGCAGCAGCGCGCTAACCTCACTTCCAATAATGTGGGCTGCTTAAATTATATGGCTACAAGGTCAAATTGGAGGTCAGATCGGTTACTTTGATCCTGTTGAATGATAGTTCGGTTGGTTCGGTTGAGTATTTGTGATTCATATCACAGAAATTGCCATTGTCTCCTGAATGTGCATTTCATGCAAATTAGTGTGCTATGCATGAGAAATTTGTGGTTTTGTTTACTTGTTATTAAAAATGATGTGGACATAGGCAAAAATTATATTATCTTAAGAACTTTAGTTGAATTTCTTATATTTTTTTAAATATTTTCTAGTTTAAAATGGATAAAATAATATTTTCGCGTAAGGTATACGATTTAATATTAAATTGGGACGAGATGCTCAAAATAAAATCAATTGAATTGAATTATCCTTTAATATTTGAATTTATACTACTGAAACACACACAAATTAAAAAAAGCTAAAAAATGAAGACTAATAAAAAAGTGAGCAAATTAATTTTAGTAAAAAAAAGCATTAAATTGAAAATAATTAAATAATGAAAATAAATGATGTTGATTTACCTTATCACTTTTGATTTCCTCCAACTCTAGTACTTCAGCAGACACTTTTTGTGCATGGCGATCCACACCAGGACTAAGTAACACCTCCCAAGTCAGCAAAGGCTTTGGATTCCCACCTTCGCTTACACAAGCCAAATTTAGTTCAGAATTCTCTTTGACTGGTACAAAAATATTGCCTGCATCCAGGCGCCTTGAATCAATCAGCAAATATGGCGATTTCGGACGATCTAAGAAAAAAAGGAAAAATAAATATATGATGAAATTGGACGTTGGTATTAATATAATTATACTAATTACAATTACAAAAAAAAGGCAATTACTTTTTTACTTCATACAAACTAAAAGTATGTTACATATTTTAATGAGATAATGAGTATATAAAATGTAATTGAAAAAGAGTATTTGTTATTATTAATGTATTAGTTATTGCCTATTAAAACTTTCCTCAAATTACTTTAAATTTTTCTTTCCTTGTATTCAAATATTTATTATTTCTTTTTGAGTAAACAGGCTCAAAACTATGCAAAACAAACTCATTTTGAAGCTGTCGATTACTTGTCCAGAATTTTTGGTCATTAAAAACTTTTTTTATTTTAAACTTCTGCTGTCATCAAAAGTTGGCGCGGCACGGCTAAGCGCTTTATGCGGAGCGAATCAGTGCGGCGTATACTTCAACCCACCCACAGCAGTAGCTACTGAGCTTAGCTCAGTTACAGCGAAAAGTTTCTTATAACAAGAAAACTTTGCACTGCTAAGCTGTTGTGGCTGTCATTAACAGCGCCAAATGTCCTTGTGAAACAGTAAAAATATTGAGAAAATGAAGACGACGTCATTTTGAACATGCTGCAACATTTAATAAACGATTTGCGACTCGAACTCTTCATTGTCTGATAGCGCATAAAAACTTTTATGTTGCATACTTTTAGTTACACGTTACTAACTAACACTTTGGGTTCCTTGTGTTCCGCTACTCACCTAATACTACCAATTTGACTGGTCTCGCGTTTTCGGTGTATCGGCGCGTATTCTCAGCTTCGCACTGCCACTTGCCATCGTCTTCCAGCATGACATTGGTGATGGTGAGCGCTCCATTAGCCTCTTTAATGAAACGATAATCGGTGGCACGTGAGGTGCGATCAATGGCGTGCACAACCTGCAAGTACCAAGGAGTTAAACAAAATTGGTTATTAAAGTTAATTTAATGAAATTAAAGTTTCAGACAAATTTTTATATTGCAAATGAAATTGAACACGGAAAAGTGATTTTTTTAATTTTTTTATTTTATTTTATTAAACTTTTTCCCTTGCAATTGCGTCTATATATTATTTGCATTAATAACTTAATAACTGCATTAAAAAAAAAGACAACAATAAAATGTAAATAATATAAAAGTTATTATAAATTTATTTATGTTAGCGTGTGAGGATATTCGTATATCCTTACGCAAACAAAGTGCATTTCGTGTTGCAAATATGCAAAACTAAATGCATTTATGCATAAAAATAACCATATTAAGCCATTGCACTGTTGCAGTGTTGCCACATTACTGACCTCAAGTCGCGCATGCAACACTGACAAGCTGTGCTGTGCGCTCATAAAATGGATAAAAACAAAAGTGGGCATTAAATATATTAAAAACAATTGTTACTTTTATGTACACATCGGCGTATTTATCATGAAATTTATGTGCATTTAATACACCCAAAAGGCTTAAAATATTTTGCATGCATGAATTGAAAAAGGTGGCAACTATCGGAAGCTTTACATTCGCCATGCGAGGTATTAATACCGAAGCTATTGTTGCGGTATTACCGATTTATAGATAAATTGAAATTTTGTTGCGTATCTGCAATTTCGTTTGAACAAAGGATTTCATCATGAAATAATGACATTCCATGGGTATTCTGCATTCAAAATATTATGGCTTATAAACTCTATTTTGATTCGGAAGAAAATTTAACGATAAGACTCTGTAATTGTGTTTAATTTTGGTAGCAAATTTATATGTGATTAAAGTGATTGGTACATCAATAGTTTCAAACAGCAATTAAAATAATAATGATCAAGTAATAATACAGTAATTCCCCCTACAACGCGGTAAATTGGTTCCGCGTTATAGAAAAACACGTTATAGGGGTATTCACGTATACCCCGTATACACACGTGCGAAGGTAAGCGAAGCTTATTATGAACTGTGCAAATCGTGTATATACCCCGTGTATATACCTTGGATTAAATCATCGATTCGTTGTTACTAGCAGTTCTTCACTATAGACATATCTTGGTATTTTATTAAGGTTTTAGTTTGGATTCTGGACAAACTCTTACGGCAGAAAATTAGCACGCGATTGAGCTAGTGTAACTTGAACCAACTGTTTCAGTCTCTGCTCTTAACAG